ATAATCAACAACTGCCCGTTGTTTAGAATAATCAGCACAATCCTCAAAATGATCTGATTACTTCCTAGCCCACCAGATAGGAAATCTTGTTCTTCAAATGCAAAACAATCCTGCCTCTCAAATCAATATCCCTGCTATCAATCTTCTGACCCAACATCATAAGCTTAACTTAGTTCCTTATTCTGATTTTTCCGGAGGAGAACAAGACCCAATTACTTGGTTGGAAGATGTAGAAAAAGCATTTGAAGCTAATCAAGTTCAAGATAATCGGAAAATCCCAATAGTCATTCCTCACTTGAAAAGCACGGTGGCCATCTGGTGGGTTGCTGCCAAGACCATTCAACCCGCTATTGATCATTGGAACGATTGTCATCATCAAAGACAAAGTTTTCACCCCCACTTCATTGCCCAATTTCGGACTCCCTCTCTTGAAAGCAAATGGTTTGCTCAATTAACTCAACAGAAGCAAGGCCTGACCGAAGATTTCGATTCGTATCACGTGTCTATCAAAAACTTCTCTGACGAGTAGAGTTGGGTGGTCATCGTTACCCAGGCACCGCCAAGACTCAAATGTTTATCAACAGTCTAAGGCCTGAATTGTCTACTGCTATTGCCCCCTTCATGCTCAACACCTTGTCTACTGTCTATGAGCGTGCTAAGGCATTTGAAAATTCCTTCAAACAGAATCCCTTTTTCTATAACCCTACTTTGCGGCTTCTCCACAGGGCTCTCAATATCTAATTCCTCAACCTACCCCTCGCAACCTCTAGCCGTGACACCTAGCAACCCCCCAATGTTAAATTCTCCTAAGACAGAGAAAGTTCTTGTTAAGTTGAAGGAAACTTTGACTACAGTAATGAAGAAACTTCAAGAGTCACGTGAACTACCTAGACGAGCTCCAACTAGCTGGAATAACTCTCCTCGTTTTATTTGTAATTGGTGTGGACAGCTTGGCCACTATGCTCGCAACTGTACTAACCCTTCGCCCCAAAATAATCCTGGTGCGGTAGTCACCGGAAGCAATGCTATTCGTCTTGGACAGAACATCAGTCTCTGAAATAATTCTCCCCCCATCACCAATAATGACACTCCGGCTCAAGCTCAAGGAAACAAAGCCCAGACCTTTTTGAATCTCCAAGTTGATGAAAATGAACCTCTGTTTCTCCCAGCCGACGAATCTGAAAGACCTGCCTATTCTACTTGTTCTAAGAGAAGACGTGTTGAAGATTCAACTCTCCAAGACCTTCTGGAAGAGGAACGGAACGATGATCAAGAAGATGTCCCAGATAAGAAAACCGAATCGAGAGGAAAAGTTGCCACAGCGTCTAAGCCAAAGAAGGAAGTAAAAACGACCTTTGTTAAGAAAAGAAAGGCTGAGAATAACCCACCTCAGATTTTCGATCTCATTCCTCGATATTAGATTATCTCTGATATTTGTGATAAACCCGCCAATATTATGTTTAGCCAGTTATTACAGGTGGTCCCATCTTTCCGTTCAGATTTAGCTAAGAGCCTCCGCAAAACCAAAGCTCCCAAGAAAAGAACTCATACTTTCGCCAATTTTCAACCAACCCCTAAATCAACCACCCTATATTGTGACGCTATGGTTCAAGACAAAGTTATTCCTCTTATTGTTGACAGGGGGTCCTCCGGAAGTGTCATTTTATCTCATCTTCTCAGTGAGCTAGGCATCAAGGTAGAAAGACCTTCAGCAGTAAATATAATTAACGTACATGGTCAAAGCAAAAGAGCTATCGGTGAAATTTTGGACTTTCCATTTTCAGTCGAAGGCGGCATGGTTCCTGTCGACGTAGTAGTCACAGATGTGCCATCATATTAGGCTAACGTCAGAAAAGACTGGTTATCTAAAGTTAGTGCTAATATCAATTATAATACTTCTAAAATGACCTTCCAATGGAAGGATCAAGAAATCATTATTCCGTTGAATTCAAGAAGCTCCAGCATACTCCAATCCAGGATAGCCACCCCCCTAAAGTTGCTAAAATCCAGCAGGATGATGATGATGAGTCAGATGACTCTGAAAGTGAGGATGAGACCGAGTCTGAATATGAAGAAGAGGAATTGGAAGATCAACTCTTTGGTTTCTCAGAGGATGAATCTATAACCTTCTGATATTGTCGCAATGAGGGAGTAGAAGCTGATAATTCTGATGCTGATTCAGTAACATCTTGGTATAACGTTTGTCCCAATGGTCTGGGGGCAGGTGATGCTTGGTAGGAGCTTGATAGTGATGATGACTATGAGCTGCGGGATGTTGATCATTCTTCTGACTTCGATGTTAATGAACCCGAACCTTACTATGATTTTTTTTTCGAAAAGATAGAAGAATCCCCTCGGGAGTTGGATATCGGAGACTTGTTAGATGATAATCATGATAAGTTAGAGGAGTTGCTGATGAGATATGATGATCTTTTTGCACGGACTCCTCAACGTCTGGGTTGAACCAATCTGGTTACCCATTCTATACACACCGGTGAAGCCCTCCCAATCAAGCAACGATATTATCGTACCTCACCTAGAGAATGGGAGTTCCTAGTAAAAGAAATTGATCGAATACTCCAAGACGGAATTATCCAACCTTCCTATAGTCCCTGGGCTTTTCCTATAGTACTTGTCAAGCAGCATGACAAGACTTGGTTCTGTGTTGACTACCGTCATCTTAATACTGTTACAAAGAAGGATAGTTATCCTTTATCTCAAATCGACAACTTGTTAGACACCCTTTGACATTCTTCTTGGTATACTTCTCTTGATCTTGCCTCTGGATATTGGCAGATCGAAATGGATTCTAGGGATAAAGAGAAAATGGCTTTTATCTCTTAGTTTAGAACTTTCGAATTTAACATAATGCCTTTTGGCCTTACTAATGCCCTGGCTACTTTTCAACGGCTTATGATAGGATTTTTCAAGGGGTCATCGGCAAATTTGTGGTTGTCTACTTGGACGATATCAACATTTTCTCCTCCACATTCGACGAACATATTTCGCATCTTACTGAGGTATTTGATTGACTTCAAGGTGCTGGACTTAGACTGAATTCTAAGAAATGTCACTTTGCCAAGTCCGAACTTAAATTCCTTGGCTATGTCATCAATAAAGAGGGTATCTCTACTGATCTGAAAAAGGTAGAAGTCGTCAAGAATTTTCCTACCTCTACAAGCCTTTGACAACTATGAGGATTTCTGGGCCTCACATCATACTATCAACAGTTTATTTGAGATTTTGCTCAGATTGCCACTCCTCTTAACCAACTGCTCAAAAAGAACGTTCCATATATCTGGACCTGAGATCAAGAGATGGCCTTTGATGACCTTAAGGAGAAACTTATCACTACGCCTATTTTGGCCTATCCTGATTTCTCAAAGGAATTTCTCCTGTTCACCAACGCCTCTAAGGTTGCATTGGGGGCTATACTTGCACAGAAAGATCCCTATGGAAAAGAAAAAGTGATTCACTACACTAGTAGGACCATGAGCTTAGCCGAGAAAAATTATTCTGTAATTGAGCAGGAATGTCTGGCCATTGTTTGGTTGGTCTCTTATTTTAGGCAATATCTCTACAGATCCCATTTCACTATCGTTACAGACCATTCGGCCCTCAAATCTCTGTTACAACATCAACTGCTGAAGGGTCGTCTTGCCCGTTGGATTCTTTCTTTGCAAGAATATAATTTTTCAGTCATGCACCGTCCTAGTCGATATAACTCGAACATTGATAGTCTCTCTCACTTACCAATTCGCTCCACCCTAAGCCTGGAGCCTTCAAAAAGTGCATCTGTTACAGTTGTTGTCAATACGGTCATTTCGCCCGTGAATGTCTTTTCATATATAAGCCAAAGTCTAGCCAAAACTCAATCAGCAACTTTAAATTACTCCCTAATTTTGACTAGTTGAGTTTTTATGCATTATTCTCAACCACTTACAAATCTACTTCCTAAAGTTATTGATTATTCTTTTAAACAATTATTTCACTATGGATCCTGAATACTATAAAACTTATATTCAATATCTCTGTGATCCTCATTATAAACTCAATTTAAAACCACAACTCCACAATCGTCTAAAACAACAAACCTGATTTTTCATCGTTATTAACAACACACTATATAAAAGACATCGTCAACCTCCTCATCACTTGTTAAGAGTATTGTTGCCCCATGAAATTCAACTTATCTTATTTAGTATGCATTCTGACCCCTTTCGGGCACTTCAACAATGTCTCCACCCTCCAACGAATTTCGCAAAGATATTTCTGACCACAAATAGGAGAGGACGTTAAAAAGTATGTTGCTAGTTGTGACGTGTGCCAACGAAGAAATAAGCCCTGAACCTGAGAACCTCTGTATCTCATTAAAGTTGGCTTACCTTTTGATAGGGTTGGCATCGACTTAGTAGGCCCTTTACCACCCACAACAAAAGGAAATAAGTATATCATCGTGGCTACTGAGTATCTTACAAAATGGCCTGAAGCTTGAGCTATCCCTGATGCTACCACTTCTTCTGTAGCTTCTTTCGTAATAGATGACATTATTTGTCGCCACGGGTGTCACTGAATTTTGCTATCAGATTAAGCCAAACACTTCTCGAATATATTAATTATGGCCATTTGCGATCAGCTACGGGTACACCACCAATATTCTACTACCTATCATCCACAGACCAACGGCCTCGTCGAACATTTCAATAGGACCCTTTGTGAAGTATTATCTAAATACACCCTCCAATTCCAAGGTGACTGAGATCAGTATATCTCGCCAGCTTTAT